GCTCTCTTGTCAACAATAGCAGTCACTTCTATTAATTAATATTCTCACCAGAAGATACTGTTGTATCATATTAGAATGGTTCTTAAGTATTTGGGAAATGAGATGGCATTGAGCAACTTGCATTGGAATAGTGTTTAAAAGCAAAATAAAAACCATATAGACTTAGATCAGCTCATGAAAGAAGCTGAATTGTACTGAAAAATAGCGTGATTGATGAAATAGTCAGGTGAACGTTGAAGCGTTATACCCATAACACTGACTCTAGTCCTGCCAGTGGCTTCATAAATGAGTAAAGTTAATGCTTTAGGAGCATTGAATTCAGTAGAGTTCAATCCCATCAGTGGTTCTGCTACTGGGTTAGTGTAGCATGTAGCAATCAGCCTTGAAAGATTTTATTTTCAAGTATGTTTGCCCCCCTGGGTATTTTTTTTTTAATGTTTGAGAAACAAACAAGAAGATGCAAGAGTACTGAAGTTTTTTAAAAAGAAAGTGTGTGCATGACTTTTGGGGGTTTCTGTCAAAATTCTTGTTTACTGTGGCACTGCAGTTACCCTTTTTCTATTGCTGTGCTGCTTTTCCCTTTACCCCCAGTATTTCAGTTCTTCTCCTATCTCTTTCCTGTATTCCCCATTGTAGTTTTCCTTATGTTTTGTGTATCTTGGCTTGCTGTATGAAAAGAAACCCTGTCTGGGCTGCTGCTGCTCTCTCCACTTGGGATGTACTACCAAGCTGGTGGTTGTCCATCAGAATGAATAATCTTGGGGATGCCTCTTGATGTTCCTCACCTTGTACTTGTGGAGGTAAAAATAGGGCCATGCTCACCTACTGCCTTGGTCCATTCTTCTGTTCTTTGAGGTGAGACACTGGATATAAAATTAACAGTGGCTTCAGAAGTGGTTTTGTGGGGACATGCTTTCTTTTGTTATTTTGGGTTTGTTTTGCTTTTGAAGACCCAGTCAGAATTGTGATTGAATTGTGTATAGTAGGTAGTAATCTTGTTGAGTATGAGAGGTTTATGACTGCAAACTATTTAATAACTAGAAATTTAAGTCCATGGAGTTACAAATTATATGTGTAAACGAAATAAATTTCTATTAACTTTGTCAATTTCTGAACAAAAGTAATGATTCTAATCAAACATGAAGATGAGTTAGTTGTTACACTAGCTATGAGCCCCCTTTTCCTATAACCTGTACATGTCTGTGTTTAATGCTAGCTCCAGTTCTGAAACAGGTTGTTAAACTTGTTTGTATTTGGCTTCTTCATAGTAACTCAATTCCTCTTTTTTGTGTACTTTGCCTGAGCCATGGGAAGATGTATTACCAATGTCCTTGTCCATAGTGTCATATTTTTACATCAGACTAACTTTGGATTCACTTTGGATGCTGCAAATGAATGTGTAGTGGTAGTTTGAATCTATCTTTTGATAATTGGAGAACAAGGTAATCAGATGGTATTGGCTTTTCTGATTGCCTGCTGCTACACAGGCATAATTTTTTTACATTATTAATTAGGACACTGCTAATAACCGTTTGCTCAGATAAAAGTGATGAAGAAAAGGAAAGGAACGTGTGTTAATGAATACTGGGAAGTGGAGTGGGGAAAAAAAGATGGATTGGTAGTGTGTAAGAAGAATGTTGATGTTTACATTTTATCTTTTAACTTTCCCTTTAAATACTTAAGCTTTGTCAATAATGTCTTTTATCACTATTACTAAGTTGCAATTAGACTCAGAACTGTAGAATGGTTTGTGTTGCGAGGGACCTTAAAGATAATATAGGTCCAATGCCTATCATATTTGCATACTTTTTTTTTTAGTGTGTACTCAGTATTGCTTTGCTGTAGTTAGAGAACTCTAGATATAGTGGAGTTCAAAAATCTCTGCTATCCAGTTAATGATTCATTTCCTTAAAGGCCAAGGTTATCATGGTGAAATTATTAGCTCTTTGAGAACAGTCTGCCACATGGTCCTAACAGGTGATCAAGTGATTCCTCAGGAGTTAGGGAAGGGTATAATTCCACATGTCCTCCACTGCCTCAGTGCTCTATGTCCCAGCTTTGGAGATGGGAAGCATCTTCCAAGTAACTTTTTAAATGGAGAATATGTTTTATTGCACATTATTGTAATGAACTGTAGTAAATATGAAAGCAAATTATTAATTGATTGTGGTTGTGAGTGACTTGGTATATTCGTACTTTTTTTATTTTCTGTGGCACCCCTTTTTTGTCTATATCTTTTACATTTACAAGAGAGAAAATAATGAAAATACTGAGCCACGGTATCATGATACATTGCTAGAAAATCAGACTTTTAGCATAGGTTGAATATGCCATATTTCTGAAACCTGCATTCAGTTCATCTGGGGGAAAATAGCTCAATACTGCATTGCAGTGTGACATTGTGAGCTTGCCCTAATACTTCTTATAGCTTCTCTTCAAAGTTGTGCAGTTGCCCATACAAGTATTGTTAGAATGTATATTTTTGGATAGAATATATGATTGTTCTGTCAGGTAGGATGCTGAGATAAATATATGTATACATGCTTTATTTTTAAAAATAAAATTAAAGAAATTGGTAAATCGAAATTCTCTGACTTGGACAAAGGCCATTCAAAGATGAGCCAGCTAGACTGTTACAGTAAGTTGCGTCTTGAAGTATGAAGTTGGCAGTTGTGTTCCTATTGGACTGTAGACTGAAGTCTACAGTAAAAACAGTTAAATAAAAGAATAGAAATTCCTTGATGTTCACGTGTAAAATGAGTGAAGTAATATAATGTTTGGCCATCAAAAAAGGGGGAAGAAAGCAGTTATGCAATATTAAACTCTGGTCCAGTTTGCAAAATGCTTAGGGGGATTTCAGTTATGCAGATACTAAACTATGAATTAAGAATAATTTGAAACTTAGAGAAGTAGCTGTTTGGAAGAATAACTTCCAAGTGCATGTGACAAAGCATTATCTTTCCTCTTGGTACGTATTGGTAGACTAGAAGATGGAGTTTGACTTACATTTTAGAATATATAGAAGTAACAGCAGCATGGAATGCTTGGGAAGTTTTTAGGTGGCTGAAAAGCTATTTAGTAGAAAGTACTATAGTTTGCATATAGTATACAGCTAAAACCTGTTAACTTTAATTGCAGATTGCTTTTCAGTCCTGCTGCAATCCTATCTTAAAACCTTGCCTTAAAAAGAAAATGGAAGGAAAGGAGATATGTTGGACTTCCATAGGATCGTTCTTAGGATCTGCCTAATCTTAGGGTTAGGCGGAAGTATTTTATTAAATATAACAACTCTTTCTGAGGAAACACTGAGCTTTACATATATTTGGTTCAGAAATCAGAGATCAGGCAACTAATGTAATGCTAAGAGTCATGTCAAGAGTATCTCCGTTGTATGTTATTGTCAGACTTGTTTCAAAATGAACTGTGCTTGTTGCAGGTATTAATTGTATACAGAAATGTAAGGTAATGGTTCAAAAGGTAGGGTTGTTTTCAAGAAGGTTCATAATTTTTCCAACCGTAATGATTCTGTGATACCGTTTTGCGTGTTTGCCCGAGAGTGTGGGAAGCTCTTTTATCTGCCCTGGATTGTGGTTATTTTTATCAATGAAATCTCGACTCAAATGAAGGGAAGAGAGTCCTCTGAGATTCGGTGTATGGTTAAACACTCTCCAGCCCAGATCAGTCAGTGGGGTAAGTTGCTATTTTGGTATGGTTATTTGATATCTTTTTCCCTGTTCTGAATAATTTTTGTGAAGACAGTATGCCTAGCCTAGAAGTAGATCTTAGTGTTTTTGTGTGTATTTTTTAATGTATGACTTGATACTGTTTTCTTTCTTGTATACAACCTAAACCAAGTGCTAATATTTCAACAGATACAGAATGACAGTCAAACACTACACACTGGTATGCCTATGAAGAGGCACTGCCAAAGTTAATTGTGTCTAGTGCAAAAGCTTGGAGTTCTGGCTGATCAAAGCAGGTAGGTGTGAAGGTGCTTGCATGGAGAGGAGATAAGGGGACAACTCAATGCAAGTAAAAGTTTTACATAAGCAGTCCAAAATTATAAATTTCAAATGGCATTTACCTCAGCTGACTGAAACATTTTTATAATAAAACTTGTGATGGTCTTATTCCAAGCGATTTGGAAAAAATGTCACAATTTTAATTTAATACTGAAATGTGGGTGAATTGAGGCACTAGTCCAATAAGGAAAGTTAAGTCAGCAAATCTTCAGAAAACATTTAATTAGCTAATAAAGAACAGCATATTTTGTATGGTGGTAGCAGTACAAGACAATTTAGAATGCTTTTTCATGTACTGTTAACACATACTAGGTACAAATATAAAAATGTAATTCTGATCTAAAAACATCACTGACTGCACATGAGACTTTTTAAACTTTTGTCTTGAACCTGCGATTCAGACTATATTACAGAGGTATCATGGTGTACTTGCACATCATTTGCAAGTCATGACTGAATCAGTTTGTCTCCACTGTCAACTGCTCATGTTAGACAATAATAAGCCTCTGTTGCATCGCAGACCTATTAATGCTGAAGAACTAAGACAGCTTACAATAGCATTTGACATCACAGTGTCTGAGCAGTAAGTTTTTAGAAAACTCAGTCCAGTTTTAGCTGTAGAGTTCTTACTGCTTCTGAAAATGAAGGGATCAAGCCTGTTGCTCTAAGTTCATGCTGAATTTATAAAGTCTAACAGTAAGGAAACCCTTTAGTAGAAATCAGGATTTGATATGGAAAGTAACCTAAGTGCTCAAATATGAAATACAAGTTTTGAGCACTTTCTGAAATAAAACTTTGTGAAACTGATGACTTAAAAAAACTCCAGATAATTTGTTTAGCTTTTATTTACCAGTGCATCCATATTGCCCTTTCCTATCATTAATGTATTAAATATTTATATTGGAGTAAATATTGCATGAAAGGGGCATTTCTCTGCTGTGCTTGAGTTCCCCAGAGATCCCAGACACCAGAGGGAAGTCATGAAGTGTCAAAACTTAGAGAGAAAAGCTTTGAGCTATTCTCTTCTGCAAGTTCAGATAGGACCTCACTCTACCTCCAAAAACCCACCAGAAAACCACCCAACCCCCCCCAAAATCAAAGCATCCAGTCTGATGTGGCTGTTGAAACAGCCAAAACAGTGAAATCACTCCTCTGAACATTCCTTGTGTGTGGTATTTTAGGTTCTACAGATAGCCAGACTAGAAGACTCTGACCAGAGAAGTGTAGGAATTATGTGAAGATTGAAAACTCAGTAGGAGAAATGGTGCTTTAAAAAAAAAAATGTGTAAGAAATTTGCTACCTAATTGTATGTAAATAGAATCAAATTATTTTGAGCAAGCCATGTATCAAGAGCTACAAAATGAAGTACAAGAACCACTGTTAACATTAAGAAACTACAGGTTTTATGTCATTTTATCAAGTAAGTTCAAGGTATACATAAATACTGTAACCTTTATTTCTGTAGCTGGCTTTCTTAAGCGGAAAAAAACCCAAGTAAATAATCATCATATGATGTCTTTAAAAAGTTTTTTTCTTTTTTTTTTTAATACTGGCTCATGCACTCTGCCCAGAAGCATAGAATTTCCCTAAGACTGAAAGGAGATCTGTTTTTCTGACAGAAATGTATGTTAGTGCCAATAAGGTCTGTTAATCTGATTAAAATGTGGTTTAGTTAGGCCAAAAAAGGTTTGCTCTCAACTGTACTTGGCATAAAAGCTGACAATAAATAAAAAGCACGTTAATGAAGGCATTTAAAAATATTCTTGCAATGTAAACAGTTTTAAAAAGGAAAAAATAATTATAACATTGTTTAGCAAATACCCATTTCTTTAATTGTATAAAATTGATGCATCTATTAGTGGGAATTGTTTTTACAAGGTAGTATTTTCTATGCCCAACCAGTCCTTCAATTTTATACCTCTAGTGTTTTCCTGCTGTTGTATATGTGCCAAGAAATATTGGCTGTGTTTCTCAAATGTGTGGGGTTGTGATAGCTATATATAATTTCAGAATTCTGTGTCATGCTGAGTTCAGAAAAGTCAGGGCTTTTTGCCACTCTTAAACTGGTAGTTTATGGAGGATCTTTCAGGGGTTGGTACCTCTGCCAGTCTTAAGTAGGTATTGCCTGATGCCTTGTCTGATAATCTAGACAATGCTATGACCCTCTGGGTTTTAGTAAGTCTTTAAAGACGTTGAGCACAAAGCATTTTTGGAGAGAGGCCAAATGCTTTTAAAACAAAACACCTCTGAAATTTAGAAAGTCAAGGTTTTTACCATTCTATTTGTTGGCATATTTATCTTTTAATGACAGGTTGCATGATAATCTTAAGCATAACACTTTGTCCAAGGTTTTTGCTCCATCTTGGGACTAAATAACATTATCTGATGTAGCTATTATAATGTTCAATGACTTCTGCCCTTCTCTCCAATCAAGTCTCCTCCTCCTGTTCCCTCCCAAAAAAGCCCTAAACCAGAAAGTTTTGGAAAACTTTTATTTTTTGTAGCTTGCAACTTAACAGCTTATATCACTCCTGTTGATACTTTAATATCACATTTTTTTTACACATGCCATGTTGGTGCTAGTTTCCAGGAAGATGATGTTTTACTAAAATTTGCTGTTCTTGTAATGTTTATTTCGAATAACAGTTCAGCTGGATGCTGGTGTGTAGATCCCGTGGTGGATTTGCAGCCTGCACACACATCTAGAGGTATAATTAATGGCAGCAGGACAACTATAAGAGCTGCAAATGCTCTGCAGGCGTAGTTGAACCTTAGATCTAAAATAATTGCATAATGCTTTAAAATTTCAGTTTGAGGGTTGAGAAGTACTTGACCTGACCACAGGTAACTTAAATCAGGTATGGCAATTAGTTCTGTTTGCTGTATTCTTTCACTTGGATCCAGCAGTTGTTGGAGCTGTAGTATTGGAAATATGAAAAGTATTGTTGCTTATATTCTATACCATTAACCAAATATGGAGATTCAATTTTTTGCTTATTTTCCAGATGGTATCCTGTATACAATTTACTCACAATTGTTTAAACTTTTACTTTCTTGGCTATTGAGCTTCTGCTCATTGATGCAGAAAAATGGAGACCACTCCTCACTGACTCACGAATTGGCTGTGGAATGTGCCCTGTAGAGAAGGAAGAAAGCACTAAAGGGAGTTTTCCCCCCAGTGTGTTATCAGCAGTCAGAGCACTATGGAAAGACATTGCAGAGATTCTTTGCCCAAAGAAGATGAGGATACTGATGATAGGATTCCGTATTCCATCTTCATAAGCTCACAAACAGGGCTTCTAGTTCATTCCTGACTTCATCTGTATCTGTAGATCACCAGCATGTTTTTGTGTCATCATGGCTGTAATTTCTTTCTGCTTCAGCCCATCAGAGCTTGCCCTTGAGGTGAATCAACAAACTACAGTGCAGTGACTGAGAAGAGCTGTTGGATATTCAGCTGCTTAAGCTGACTTAACATCCATCCCATCTAGGTAGTGCAAATCACTTCTGGTGACTGATGTGAGGCAACAAAAGAACTTTTCCCAAAATTCCTGTAAGAGGGATTCAAGTACTTTGGACAGTCTTTTCTAGACTTCTTTTTCATTCTTTTGAATCTCCATAAGGGCGATGGAGCATTCATTAACATTTCTCATCTCAAAATGCAGAAATATTTAGTTGTTTCAGCCTGAAATGCATATCTCTGTGTAGGAATCAATCAAGCTAGGGTTTTTGATAGCTAGAACACAAAAATTGTCAACTTCATTTATTCTTTACAGTTCAAGACAAGTCTGCTCAAGGGAAGAAATGACGTATGAAAAGATAGAAATAAGAGTTCTTCTTGGTTGTAAAAGGAGAGATATTATGATCTTGATGTAAGAGAAAGTATTTAAAAACAAATAATTCCTAACAGCTTGTTTCAGATTGATCTTCCAGAAACTGTTCAACTGTTTCTGTGGGAACACCAGTGGACAAAATCCTCATCATGCCTTTTATCTTCCCCTTAAATTTCACTTTGGACCTTTGTGTCTTCTGCTAAAGATGAGACACGAATCAAATAAGACCAAGTACTCCTCTGTTCTGTGCTTCTGAAGGTGCGATAGATGACGTCAGACTGTTTAGTGTATTGAAGGTGATCAGGAGTTTTTTCCATTGAATAGGGTCTTTCATGTCAACGACTATTTCTTACAGAGGCCCTAGTCAGATTGCTGTTTGAAAGGAACCTGCAATAAGCTGGGTCATGCTGCTTTTTCTGGGCTGATTCGCTCTGATACCTTCTGCTGTTTTGAATATCTTGATACCTTTCGTTGCTGGAAAAGAATATTGACTTCAGAAGTCAATAGTATTTGTATGCTTCAATGCATCACCTGAAATGTAGGCTGTAGTACTGTGTATGGCATTATACTAGTATTAGAGCAATTTGCAATGCCTTGAATCTCGGGAACTTTCCTGGAAATTACCTGGTTAAAAAGAACCTTCTATTCACAAGGGAGTCTTTAAGAAGAAATAATGCTTTCAACTGCTACTGTCCTTTTGTAATATTTTTCTTAGCCAGCAGATAGAGAGCAGTGGAAACTTGCATTGAACACATTGTTCACTGTATTTTATCATCTTTCATTTTTCTTCTGTCTCCTTTACTGGAAGAGGAGAGTACAAACATCAGCCTGGATGCATCTCTTGGCCAAGTGCATTTATATTTGTGTCCATCTCTTAGTCTTTCTGGATAGGAAGGCCTCCTTTCACAAGAACGTGCATGTGGGATGAAAAGACTGAGCCATGCTCTCTAATCTTTGAAAGTTGGTCTGAAATAATGGAACACTGTTTTGTCCAGTTGAAAGGCATAGGGACATATCTTGATCTTCAGTTGATGAAAAGTCATGAAACTACAATAAAAAAGAGCCCTATTTTTGTGAACCACTCTTCCTATTTAGATTACTTCTTACCTTAGCTAGAGATACTGTAACCATATTCAGGAACAAAGAAGCAGAGTATTGTTCTGCATGGCCGAGCAGTTTCTCTGGAAAGAGCTTCCTGATTTTTCTCTTTTAATTACTTTAGAGTATCGGGATTTGTCCTTGATGGCTTTATCTGTCACTTGTTTAAAAAACAAAATGTTTCCTGTATGCTACACTAACTGCAAAATTGCTGTGGTTTTAATGACAAGACCTTCCCCCCATTTTCTTGTATTATTTTGAGTACAATGAAAGAAAGTTTGGTTTTTTTGAGCAGGTGAAAGCTTGTAATTGAAGAACATGGGAGGAATCTAACAATATGAAGCTATTTTGTTTAGGTGTGTGCTCTAGAGGAGAGGATGAAGAAATATCACCAATTGCCACAGAATGAATTAAGCAAAATCCTTCAGACATAAGGAGTAATGTACCTTCTTGGTTAACTATTGGATCATGCTCTCGATGTCCTGAGAGCAAAGAAAAGCCTTCCTGGTAAAATGAAGGTGCTTCGCATGCCTCAGCACAATGACTGCCTCACATGCAAATACCTGACATTGCTGTTGTGCAGAAGGTACTGCAGTGGCTAATAACCAGTAAATGCATATGTGAGCAGCTATCCCTGTAGCTGTTGGAAGTCCAGTGACTTGTGCTTCTGTTTTGTTGTGTGTGGGCTCCATGCTATTGATAAAACTTCATGGGAGTCTGAACTAGCTTTCAGGATTTGTGAAGAAGAAGATTTCAGCTCTCTTGCACATTATTTTTTGGTTGTTCTTCGTGTAATGATGACTCCTAGGGCATTTGGGTTTTCAGGAATAAAAAGAGGCCTATTTTAGAAATCCAGAAGACTGATGCAAGCATTTGAGTAGGTTCTTATCTTCCACAGAAATCATAATCTGCCTAGGTTAGGTCAAAGGTTGTGATAACAGCATTAAACTGCTGTTAGTGTTCAGTCACTCTGATTTTGGCAAATAAAGTAGAAGGCTTGAGACTGGACTAAGAGCTTTACAGAGGATTTGAGAGTGGTTAGGAAGTCATTGGTAAGGGAAACATTCAGGTAAGTATGACCATTTCTTCTTAAAAGAGATTATGGGGAGATGTTCACTGCATTGCAATAGATGCCATTTTTAATTCACTTGAGAAAAAGTGATCAGAGGAGAGATTTGGATTATTTTTCCAAGAAATGAGCACTTAAATTCCCCCTCCCACCCCACCTACATCTACTTGTAACAAACTGAGAGAACTTTCTGGACAAAACATCTTATGATTGATCTCATCTGTTGCTAGATGTCTTAATAGTCTTGAAAGTTCACAGTTCAACACTTTGGGGTTGTTTTTTTTTTTGGCATCAGAGCATGAAAAAAACTGCATGTCTAGTACTCATCTCTTGTCATCCTCCCCTATTGCAGTGACTATGTGTATGTCTCTGTGTGGCAGAAAATGAGGGAATACAGATCATTATTCAAGAAGTTACCAACTAGCACTTTTCCTTCCCCTCCAGTCTTTCTGCCTCCCTATCCTGGAAGTATGGAGTCCCTGCCTCAGCCTACGGCTTCATTCTTTTTCCAGCTGCCCACAAAAGTAAAGAACCAGTGTGAGAGTTTGAAGAAAGAATCCGCTCAGAGGACTGAGTCTCAAGCAAAAGCTCCAGGTTGCAGACTCAGAAAGAAACTTCCTTTGGGGAAGGATCTGCTTCCAGGATTTGCTCGTCTCTTTTTCCTTGGGCAAACAGTTCTTGAAGCAAACAACAGGGTTGCAGGTAGGTAGGGCCCCTCTGAACTGCCATCCACTCAGGTGTGAAGGATAACTTTATGCTGTTTCTCTATGCATTTTTTTTGTTGATGTTGTCTTCCACTTCTCTAGGCTGAGAGAGGGAAGGAGTGTGAACATTGTAAAGAAAAAGTGTTGGGGAGAGAGAGAGGAGAGAAATGTTCTGGGCACTTGGAAAGAATGCCTTGGTGCAAGCTTCCTGTCTGTGGGTCATATTGGTACTTCAGTTCTGTGAAGCACTAATGACATTCTTGGTGTGACCCTTCTCTAGACAGGAAACTAAGAGCAGAAGCTGGTGGCTGGAGCCAAGATAAGGCCAGTGATTGTGTATGGTCCATAGCCACACAGTTTTCATCTCCTCCCTGTCTCTTTACACTAGTGCTAGGTTTGAATGTGCAGTAAGGTGGAGATCGTCAAATGGGTTTGAAATCTGACTTGATTCCCAGCACTGAAAACGTTCCTCAGTTCTAAATGTGTAAGTGCATTTCTTCCTTTGGAGGAGCCTGTGGCTGCTGGGTTTGTAAAGTCCTGTTCTTTTGTCCATGTGAAGGAAATAGACTGGAATACTCTGATTAAGGGGATGTGCTGCTAACCCACACGATCAGCAGTCCCTCAGGCCCAGAGAAAGGGAATCAGCTCAGGTAAATTCTGCCTTTCTCACTTCGTGCTGTGCAGAGCAACAGCCTCTTCCTTGCAAACATCGGTAGCTCACAGTCAGACCTTTCTTTTTCCAGCTATGTGATTGCTGGCACAGGAAGTTTATTCTAAATTCCTTTTTAATTTTTAGCAAATCACTTGAAAACTGGCAATGAAATTCTAGGGAGATTTTACCAGTTCCTCTTTGGTGCTGAGTTGAAGTTATTTGGAACTATGTTACATGCATTATTACTTTGTTGCATCTTGTGACTCTCTCTCCCTCTTCATTCCCTCCAAATTGCTTCAGGACACCTTCTAACCTTTATACTGCATCACAAGCCTGCAGGAGAAGATCTTATGTTGCTGGAAGATGACTGGGTTTGGATCTTGGCCTTCCCTAAGCAGGATCTCCTGGCAAAAAATGGGATTGGGAAAGACATGGCTCCTTTTTCCATCATACAGAACCACCCTAGAAATGGAGGCCTAGGCAGAAAATTACTTCTAATGCATCGTTCTTTAGGAAATGTGTTTGGCCTCCCACGGTCCTTTTGTTACAGTGTCATATAGATACCCTTTATAAAATCTAAACATGGCATCTTCCTATCTGAAGATCGAGTCAATAAATCTAAGATTAAGAGTTTACAGGTCTAATAATGTGGTTGGGTCTTGCTGTCCCTTGCATAGGAGATGCCACGTGAATCTATGAAACAGGATTCTGCTGTGGTTCAGACTGTTACATTTATAAAGCCTTTTCAACTTATATTAAAATTATTAGAGATAATATTAATAAAGGTTCTTGTGAAAATGGTATTTAGACTTCTACCTTGTTGGGTTTACTTAAAAATAAATTTGAGCCAAAATGTCACAATGGGCAGTATAGGAAGTACTGCATCTTTTGAGGTTTCCTGTGGCTTTGTGTCACAAAAAAGTGTGTTGCAACTGTAGAGAGATATAAAAGTGGAAATCTTAGATTTTTCTTTAAGAGTGAGAAGTTGTTTGTTAGAAAGCAGAAAGCTTTTAATTGTTTTCCCCCTAAGGGATTCTGTAGTCAAACTTAATTAATGTCTTGCAAGATCTTAAATAAAAACCTTATGTTTGGCGGCAGTGAGCAACACACACATGCCTGTGCACTTGTGTTGTTCTCACTATAGGAAATTGGTTTTGAAGAATGGGACTTAGTTCTAATGTTCAGATTAGGAAAGGGGAAAGTTTTGTTCTGAAGCTGAGTGTGAGAATAGGAAGCAGGAGGGTGTACCAGCCCTCTGGCAGTAGGTAAAGAGTACTTTTGTTTTTCTGTTTTCTGCTTCTGGCAGTTGAAGTAAACTAGCCAGATGCTTGTACTTGAATCCAATTAATTTCTTAAATCACTTACCACAAAACATTGTTTTTAAACTAATGCCTAGATATTTTGCTAAATTCACCAGCTTACTTAATTTACTCAATAGTCATAATAGTCACATAGCCCTGAGGCTACTGCTTTATGGCAGTTGTGACTTCTTACTATTCTGGAATTCATTGCAGTCCTAGTACATTCTAAAAATAATTGCTCAGATGGTGCTGTTTAAGTACATACTTATGTAGTGAGCCATTTTCACTGGACTTTCTGAAATTAGCTTTCTATTGGATGGCTTTTTAATATCTTCTTTTGCTGTGATTATCAAACTTGTTTGTCTTGCTGCTTCTGTGGTTATTAAGTAAAGTGCTGAATTTATAACCTGGTATTTTTAGAGAACTGATAGTCACATGCCTGTGTTAAACTATGCGAGCACAGTAAGACTTGTTAGCTTCGAAGTGTAAAAAGAAATCAGTTTAATGTATCAAATTCAGTCTTATTAATATGTGGAAATATGTATGTGATGAACTTAAAATGGAGTAGTTGTTACAGTTACAGACATGAATTATGTACTGAACAGAAGTAATCAAGACATTAATAGCTGAAGATCTGTGGGTCTCGGAAGTGAATTCTAACATTTGTGACTAGAGTTTTTGTGCCAGCAGTGCTTTTACTTGGAAATACCTGTTTTTCAAGTTTCTAGTCCATTTAAGGTCTGATATCCTTTGTGCCTTAGTAAGTATACTTAAACTTGCCTCAGCCACAGTTTTTGGTAATTTTGTTCTGTAGTAGGTAAATTTAGGACTGTCAAATATTTACAGAACAGGCACTGAGAACTATTTATGTTACTGTCTCAGTTCCTAAAATGGCTTTACTCCTCCCCATCACAATTAGGAAACAAAACTACCAAAACAACAGCAAAGGCCAAACTAAAAAGCCTGTTGCAATTCTACAAGTCAGTATTTTGATACTTGTCTCCATTGTGTTAGCATGTTTCTGTCACACTCTTGAGTTTTACAGCTGGAATCCTGGGTTCTTGGTACATCCTTAGAATAATACCTCTTGCCTTTGTGTTATTAAATAATAAAGATATCTGAAACAATTTTCTTCTTGTTTATATTGTACTTGCCATAAGCGTATGTGTTGAGTGACTCTTCTGACAAACTCCAGAATGCCAGGAAACATGGAAAAACACTGTACAGTTTCAGAGGTTTTTAATGACTGGTACTAACAGAATTTCATAAAACAGGCATATAAGATTGCTATTTTTCCTCTTTCTATTTTCTTAAAGATTTCTTTGAGCGTTTGAGCTACCTAACTCACTTCATGTAATCTTAATGTCTTGATCAGATACCAGCTCCTCCTAATTGTTTCATAGCTGGTCAATAAAATCCTGGCTTTTGACACAGTTTTTTCTGTCCCAGAAGAGCTGTCTTGTTTAACTTGAAAGTTTTGATTTCTTCTTTTCGCCTTCTGTCCACCCCCTGTGGCTTATGCTGCAGCTTTTTCTCTGTTACAGGATGCTTTGAGGAAATACCCTGTAAAGATCAGGAAATTTGTGGGAAATTCTTGCTGATGTTGCTACTTCAGCCAGAGCTAAACTTGTAGTTTGTGTGAGAGATGCTTTGTCAGTTTAGTTTCAGGAAGGAAGATGTATCAAAAAATGTTATTTTTGTAAACAAGAAAATAATTTTGATTTTATAAACAAGAAAGTGATGCTAAAGAGCATAGGTTCTGGGGTGTTTGTATCCCCTTGCTGTACACTGAGGAGGTGGGTAACAAAACATGAACAATTCACTGTGATTTTCTGAAAGCCAGACTTGTTCCATCAGCAGTGGTGTGCTTTTAAGTTGGATTTCATTCGTTCAGTCCTGTTTGCAGGACACGGGGATTTGAGCAGGTAACATTTAAAAATTGAACATCTGAAAAAAAATATTTTTTCAGATCTGTTTTTAATTATGGAAAGGTGGGTCATACCTTGGTTTATCAGACATAAAGCATCCCTGAGTCTTGAAAGAATGAATGTGATATAGGGGTAGGTTTAGAAAAAGTGGTTTTAACTGAAAGCTGAAAAAAGACATTTTCTGAAAGCAGTGGCGACAAATGGTTGAACCATTCCAGTTTTGTTTGTTGCATGGACTTTACGAAGAATTCGCAGCTGCACAGCTCCTAGGACAGGTCGGTAAGCTGGTGTCAGCAACATGAGGTGAGTTGGTGGGTTGTTGCAGGAATTGCTGTATTCTGCTGTTTAAGTTGGGTTGTCAGCTTAAAGACCATATTAAGTTTGTGATTTTTTTGCTGATGACAGTGGCACTTCCCTGATCGCTTGCTAAGTTTTTTAAAGAATATAAATTTGCTGTTCTCATGAACTGTATTGTATTGTTTAGTTTCCTTGGTTGCTCTCACATGAGTAGCTTTGCTTTCTCCCCGGTAGAAAGTGATGTTTCTTGCTTTTTCCATGTACTGAAGAAGCGGAGATCAGTAAAATGTGTGGGGTTTAGCCTCATGTTAAAGAACAGTAAGTGAAGAAATTGTACCTTGCACAAATGGGTGTCACTCTCATGGGGGCAAGATAATATTTTACTTTGAGAGAGGGTTGTAGGAGGTTGCACAGTTAAAGAGGCATATGGCTTTTGGTGTTCTTTTCTGGGTAACTATTTCAACAATTGTAACTATACCAGTATCTGACCTCCTCTTGCCAGATTCAGTTGAAGATATTACCTATAATTCTGAAAAAAAAGACTTTTGAATAAATAACCTGTATGGTTATAAATGGATTTAATGAGATCATAATTGGCCTTTAAAGATAGAAATGTGATTTATATTGATTTTCTCAAACTATAACTTGGTCCTGACTTGAACTGAGGTTTCTTCATTGGATGGCATTACTTCAGAGCTCACATTAAGGTATCCTTATCCATTTGAATGTTTCAGAGGAATTTCCACATACCTGCTGCTGATGTGTTTAGAACTTTTCAGAATAGTCAAATATGAGCTATTTTAAAAAGTGGTTTCCTGGTCTCTGGTAGTACTTTGTATTAGATGAGAAAGCATGAAAAATTGATTTGCAAAGTCTTTGTGTGCATATATAAACAATGGAGAGATGAAATCAGACCAAAGTATGTAAGAGTAAATGAAGAACAGCTGACATCAGCACAGCTGCTGTGTACAGATGGAATGTTCCTGGGTGACTTCAGGATTACAGTGAAATTGAAGCTTAGTTGGATACTGGGACAGCACAGGAACTGGACTAACAAGCAGCCAGCTAATGTAGGAACTCTCCTGTAACAGGCAGTAGACTTGACAGAAAATCCCTTGAAGCAGCTAAACCTTTTTTCCTCCTATAAGCAGTGGTAGAAAAGTCTGGACTCAGATTTATAGCTTGTGTTGTGGTTAGGTTCTCTAGTGTATAATAGAGTATAAGTGTTGATTTGAAGCTTTATTATGCCTTGGGCACTAGCTGTGATTATCACTTAGTGGTGTCTAAAACTTGAGTTAATGCTGCAGCTTTCTTTAACAGGAAGAAAGTAGGGGCAAGTTAGAAGGGCTTCTGGACATTTGTACATTTATTCTTATGTAACTACTTAAGATCTTGTGTATCTTTGGCAGCTGCAACGCTTGCAGCTGCTTGAAATTAGAAGCAGGTTAAAGTATTGATAACAACATAGGAGTAAGGATATTCAAAGAGAAAACTTCTATTAGTTTTCCTAATAAGAGTGGTGATAAAAACAAGAATATGCTATACATAAAAAACTTTTGTTGTAAAAAAATTGTTGTAGCACAATCTCAAACTTTTTAGCTTTTCATGTGTTAATCTCTGCTCAGTTTTACCTTTCTAGTATCCTAGAGTAAAACTAATGTTTTTCATAAATTGCTTAATCAGTTTCTGAACGTTGTAAGTGGTATTAATTTAGCACACAAAGTAACTAATTTCTTAGAGTTTGGGGAACAATAGGACTTTCTTCTGCTATGTACTATACTGAGGATGTTCCAAGAAGTGATTTTTTTTATTGAGTTTTTTTTTCTCCTTATACTTGTACAGGTGATACCTTGTAGGTATCTGTTCCCTTGTATTAATGCTAAATTTTATCAACATTTTTTAGCTATTTTGCCCTGTACTTGGATCTGCTCTGGAGATTTCTCCCATTTATCCCTTTTAAATGAATATACTAGTCAGGTCTTTGATACTTCCTTTTTAACTAGCTCAGAACTGTTGGCTTTTTTAATAAAGCAGCTTTGCAAATGAGAACGATGAACAGTAATGCTACATTTGTTCAGAGAATAAAAACTTCTGTTCCCATGTCAGTCCTCACATCGTTCTCCAAAAATACATGCTACTTGGAAGACCTGACTGTATCTCCACTGCTAGTAGTCAAACCAGTGCTTCCAGTGTGGCAGTACTGAAGCTACAGGACATTTGGCTTGTCTCTCCAGGGCAACATTAACACCCAAATTCCTTCTTGTAGTTGAACTCAAGTTACTGTTTCAGATTAATTTTCTGCCTCCCTCAAAGTCTTTTGAAAAACTGTAATTTTGATGACAGCATAATAATGATACAAAGGCTATCTGTGCTCCTTGCCCATTCTATGCAAATTTGCCAGTTCAACATTTTTCTTGGGGCTTCAGTGCCACGTATGAATGGATGAGATAAATCTCGGATCTTCACTTGCTGTTGCACTTAAGCAGTGAATGGTTTGTATTGCCACATTTTGTCACCTTGAACTGCCATCTGTTTTGTGTCCCTCCTTAAGTGCCTGCTGTTTCAAAATCTGGCCTGCTTTTTGAGTCTGTGTACTTTTTTCTAGATCAATTCTCCTTTCTGCCTTTCTGTAAACACCAGAGTACATGCAAGATATTGTGGCTTGACTAGCTGTTCCTATAATGCTCTCATGAGTTTGATTGATTTGTGGCATTCACTTATTCTCAGTTTGCTACTTTTTGGAACTTTGTTTTTATATGGACTTCCCTGGAATAAATCATGTAGTGACTGGCTTTCTGTGAGGCAGGTGTTCTTGTTGCCTGAAGGAATTTTTTTCTGCACTACTTAAAAGAAAATACAGTAAAACAGCTAAAGCCCTGTATTTGTTCCTCCCTTCTTTGCTCCTGTGTTTGCTTGTTAATTTCTTATGCAATTAAGAGGTTTATTTACGTAGCAAACTCCATCTACCATTTGGAGAATCCGTGCAGGTTAGATAAGCCTGGAAAATTAATTGCTTTCAATATGATCCATTATTTAATTTACAAAGCACATTAATATCAATAAAGCCTCACCTTGTATCAGAATATAGGGATTTACCTTTCAACCTAAAATTACAGTGAATGTAATATGCTATAAATAGTGTTTCCACCTACCCCCTCAAATCTGAATTTCACCTTAGTCTGTATAAAATTCGGGATGTAATTATTTTATCTTTTTTTCTCTCTATGCCAGGGAGACTTTGCTTATTACATGGCCATTGGATGGTGTTTCAGTGCAAACAAAACTAATGTGTTTTATAAGGCAAGGGATTTTATTTACACCCTCAATGAATGTCAATTCCTCTTTTGCACCTAATGCTGAAGATTGTACCCTCAAAATTCTGACTTAAACATAGTCTGTTGTACAAGGATTTTGCTATGACAGAAATCCCCCTAAGGTAGAGTTTTGGGACCTGTAGTATGAAGTATGGTGTATGTATGATACAACATCTTTTTAACATGACACAAAAATAATTACTTTCAGAGGCTGGGGATTGTACCCTGTTAGGGTTATTTTCCTCACAGCTTGAGGTGTTTTAGAAAGGAATAATTTGTATCTGTGAATGATGTGAAGTTTTGTTAGTGAAGACCACCAGTTTTTAATAAGCCCTCTGCCCTTGTTGCCTTAATTGTTGTCTTGCTTAGTGCACTGACCTTATTTTTTTAAAGTGTGTTTTTAGTAGCGGTTTCTTCATCTAAAGACAGTAGAAAGATATTTTTTTTTTGTTTTGTTAAATATTTGAATGTTTATATGTTATTTTTTACTGTGCTGTTAGTGACAGTTTCAGCTGTGAGTTTGTTAGCCTTTTGCTAAGTGAAATCATTCTTACAGATATGGGAACTAGGTGTATATTTTTAGTGTTTTTTGTAAACATTGTGCTCTTGTATATAGAAGTGGTAAATTAAATACAGATATCTTATTAAAGAACTGCTTCGTGGCACTAGGTACTCATACTGACCTTCAAAATGAAAGCTAAACCCCAAATAAACTCAAACTAAAACAACTAACATGACAGCCTGCAAAGAACCAGACTAAGATAATGAGTTCTGTGAGGATTCTGGGAGAAGTAATTCCAGTGGTCATAAGGAGGTTGAGTTAAGGGTGCAGATGACTACTTTTAAAGTGAGGTCATTCAGTGAGAGGATATTGTTTTCTTCAGGTTCAAACCCATTGCTTTTGGTATCTTTTTAAGTGCTTAGTAAGTTAAAAAAATAGATTTATGTCAACTCCAAGCTCCTGCAGCTTTTAAGAATAAGTTGGAGTATTGGATCTATTTTGTCTGTGGAAATGGGATTATATGTCTGTAGGTAAACAGATCCATAGCTATGTCTATCTATTTCTACAGCTGGAGAGAGCAAGTTGGTGTGGAATATAATTTTTGTAAACAGCTTTAGGGATTCAGAACTTCTGTTTCTTCCATTCGACTTTAAAGAGTGTCAGAACCTGCCTCTAATAATTTATTAGTAAGGGCTTTAAAATAACTTTCCCTAGCTTTTCAAAACAGTGTAATTATACTACAATTACCTGGTTTTTGATATTCTGCACTAATGTGTAACTGAAGGGTTTTGTCCCCACAAGGAGCAGTGATCAACCTCTGCAGCAGTGGTGTCCCTCTGTCACAAGATAGGGCCATCAAAGCTTTTTTTTCACCATCTTTTACTCCTATGTGCTGCTTTTTTGACTTGACCTGAATGCTCTTGCCCTGTAAGGGCAGCGAGGTTTAAATGCTGAGCACAGACTGATTAACGAGGCATTAAGTCAGTTAATTCTTTCATTTTTAAATAAAGTATTAACGTGGTTTTGGTGGTCACTGATGTGCATTACAAGTTAAAAGAGATTGCTTATGTAAGCAGTGTGGATTTCTAAACCATTTGGAGTTTTTGGTGGTTTTAGTCCTCAGTCTTAAACTGTGGAGTTCACAGAAATTAAGTTGCTGAATCTGCTTGCTCATTGTAGCTATTGCAGTAATGAACAACACGTATATTACCAGCTTATTTAAAGATCAAGGTTTTAAGTGAGCCTCATTCTGTAAATGTGGTTTTTAGAAGGGATTTTCCTGTTTTATAAAAATGCTAGACTTACTAGGCAAGAGGTGGGTTTGCCACCCCTATGGCTTAATACCTGAGAGCTAGTTCAGTGAAATCTAAAATAAAGTGGGCTAGGGCTTGAGGAAGGTGGGAATCCTGAACTCTAGATGGTACTGAAATAACATGGCCTACAACCTAATTTTTCTATGCTTTCAAAACTTCAGATATGGTGGACTTCAAATATTTCTCAGTTACAACCATAATGGTGTTTACTATTAATACCAAAGATCCCACTGAATGGGAAAATAATTTTAAATCCTTACGCTTTAGAAGTAGATTCACATGCTGAAGAACATGAACTAAAGATTTCTGTTTTGAGAAGGTGCTTTTTAGTCCTGAGGCCATCTGTAAAAAGATTTTTCATAAAATGATCTTACATTCATCTAAGAATTCAAGAGGATTCATTAAAACCACTCTTAATTTCATGAATTGTAGAATATCCCAAGTTGAAAGTTACCCACAAGGATCATTGAGGGCTCCATGAGGAAGACTTAAGAGTTTTATATGGCTTTAACAGAGGACTTGTTACTGCAGGGCAGTCTCCTTGAGAGGTGGCTGCTGAATTTTCCTGGAAATGTTGTGGTGCTTATGGATAGACGGGTACTATCCAACACTGTTACCAACTTGTCACATCTTAACCTCTTAGGACTTGTTTTGGTTTATGTTGTTGTCAGTTGATGTACCCTTGAAGGATATGCTGGTATTTCCGGTTGACATAGTTGGCTGTTATATGTCTTGCAAATCATCGGGTACTTTCTGACTCTAAACATGTGCTTAATTAGTGTTGCTGTTACTTGGAAGGGTGACAGTGTATAGGGCAGTGCTTTTCCCCCAAATGATGTGTTGAGCAGTCCTGCTTGTGCTGTTAATTGGGTCTGTTCTAATATCTCATCTGGAGATCTGGGGCATAATTGCAGATTTTGGACTATACTAAATAACTTGTTACAGCATGTTAGAATAGATGTAGCTGGGACTTGTGTAGGGAAAAGGAAGAGACAGACTTCAGGAGAGGCTAAGAGTTCCTGGGAACTCTTAACAATTGTGTAAGACTTGGTACAATAACACAAGTATTCCAGGTTTATCTTGGCACCCGCTCCAGCTGTGTATCTTTTGTGTGAAAGGCCATTAGTCATGTTTCTGGATGCCAGAAGAAGATAGAGTTTATTACTTGCAGATGGTGCTTCACATGCAGAAATAAATGATTCCTGCTTATGCAGATACGTGACAGTGTTATGCAGCTTGGTTGTAGGTTTTGAATTGTGCTAACACACGTCTGAGGCTGAAGTTCTTGGGTTTGACTGGTCATGTTCCTAAAGCTTATTTTGATGTTATGTAGACCAACTATAAGTTTTTAACAGGTTAGTTGTTACAATGAAGGAATTACAATTTACTGAAGAAATCTACTGCTGTCTTGCTGTCCAGCTTTTCAAGTAGGATTGAAAGTGTAAGTCAGTGTAGGAAATGGTCTCTGAGCACTAAAGAATTTTTCCCTTCCATCATACAAATATTTTGAACCAAGTACCACACTCATGATTTTACATGAAAGGAGAGCCTGCACAAAGAGTAATTAAAATAATGTTGATATAACAGACTCTTGGTGGTCAGTCATTGCCTCTGAAATCTCAACAGTTTGAGAATTTTAAAGTTTGTGTTTCTCTCATCAGCATCACCGAAATTGATAACATTCTCTTTTTTTCAGTAATATTTCCCTCTGAGGCTTTTAGGCCATGTGTAACTACTACATGTATCTAAAGAGAATTGCTTGAAAGGCCTCTTTTTATGCCTTCATGTTATCATGGTGATATCCAAATTCTAGCATAATTG